AATCAGACAAAATTTCAAATTTATTAAATTTATTTATAAGTTAATATAAAAATATTATATATATAACATATACACTTCATCTTAATAGATGAAGAGGGTTGAGCAATTGTAGACAGGCCAAACTCATGTTGCCGAAACCAGGGCAACATGAGTCAGTGAAGCGATAAATGTGCTTGACTTTCCGCGGAGCACCTTAAACTGGCTGACCTCACTAATTACTGGACATAGCAACTTCAAGTATCACCTCAAAAAGACAACTCTTGCTGAGGAAAACACTTGCAGACTATGTCTAGAAGAAAAGGAGATAGCGGTGCATATATTGTGCTAATGTCCAGCACTGGCAAGTAGGAGGAAGACTGTCTTGCGACACCATTGGGTTGGTGATGACTTGGCAGACAACCTCAAACTAAATGAGCTGCTTGCATTAATAAGAGATGTAGTTATGTAGAACGCAAGCAACTCTAGTTTTAACTCAATACCGACATCCGAGAATAGAAGGACGAAAGAGGACCCAAGTAGTTTCGTGATCTACTTCGGCTAATCCTTCACTTCAGTAGGGCCACTTGTTGGACGTAACATAATAGGTACATATACTTAATTTGTGTAAAATATATAAGATCAGTAACACACACCTTTTTAGTAAAAGAGGTTACTTTCAAACCTTTGATTTTAGTAATTTAAAGACAAGAACCTTATAGTATGTTGCCACTGACCGGGCTATTAAGATAACAACTAAAAATAAGCTTTTCATATTGGAGCAGAAAATTTTTTAATGGTTTATAAAGAAATAGAATCGAACTTTATACCAAACCTAAACGCTTTCATTTCATAAAGAATAACAATTTTTTTGGAGGAATATATACACGAAGAGAAAAAAATGTAATAAGAATCTCAAACTTAAAATATTCAACAAAGGCTTTATTGCTTGAATATAAGTGTATTTATTTATAAAATCTATATAAGATATAACTGCAGTCTATTGCTCTAAAATTATAATGTTGTTGTACACCTTGTTATGTTAAAATTATACCGTAAATCGTCTATTAAGGTAATAATATATTTGTAATATATTATTAAAATAATTTCTGGACTATTTCAGAATTACCATTTATGATGAAATCTTATACTATTGTTTATACTTAGAATTATCGACCTTCTTTAGCATGTTTTTATATAGATATTGTAAGATAAATGTCATGACACTTATTGCTGTATATATACAGCATGTACATATACATTAATTTAAGTGCAATAATCTAAACAGAACATAACATAGAGTATTGGTCCAAATAACGACTTTCTTATAGGTATACTGTATAAGACATCAAGTGAAATCACATACCATATAGTCATATTGGTTGTTGTAAAAGTAAATAATAGATAATAAAACAAAGATAAAATAGATAATAAAATTATATAATTATGGATTGGATTAAATAAGCTGAAGATGTACGTCATTAAATTGCTTGAGAAGAATATGTAAATCTATTAAATAGAAAAATTCGATAAATTTTGTGGTTTGAGTTAATGCTATTGCGTACTTTTAGTCTTTTATGGGTGTGGGGCTTATTCCTGCCCCACACTAAGCTTTAACTATACTAAAATTATTATTATATATTTCTCTTTTAACTGATGACGTACCGTAGATCAGCATATCTTCCTGTGCGTCCTGATGTGGACTAACGGTTTGTTAGGGTGGGATTGGGCAACTTATCCAGTTTTTTGAATAATTTTAGGGCCCTGTCGTTAATATATTTTTTCACTGAGTCGATCCTTAGATCTCTATGCATATCTGTTATCTTAATATACCAAGGAATCTTAATTAGTTTTCTTAAAGCCAGATTTTGTGCTACCTGTAATTGTATTATGGCAGTATTTGGGGCTTTGCTGTATGTTACACATCCGTACAGTAGTGCTGGCCTAATTATTTGAGTATATTATAACTTTCTATTTTTGAGGGTGAACCGGTTATTTTTAAACAGCACAGAACAGCTATTCCATTTGCAGTTCATATGTTTATACCAATTAAGCCAATTAAAAGTGACCCACAGATATTTTATGCTTTCCTCCCACCGTATCTCCGTGCCACCGACGATCACTTCTGAAGGATGCTGCCTCCTCTTTCGTGTTATGAATATAGCCTTCCACCATGAGGTCTATATTTCTCTGTAAGGTGTTGCTTACATTTCTGGCATCCCGGTCAGAGTAGATCAAGCACGTATCGTCTGCACATCTAATAAACTTTACATAGTTTTAAATTCACATTCCTATTCACTGATTTGACAGTTGGTGTTTCTATCGGTATTCGTTACTAAATGAGCAGCTTTTAAAAATTGTGTAGGTATTGAATTGAACTGTCTATTTATGTCTATTTATTAAATGTCTATTTATGATATTTATTTTGGTTTTATATACGTTATGAGCGACCAGTTCCACATCAAACTAATGACTTCATAAATTTATTACATAAAAATTAATGGTTACTAGATCTCATCGAATGTAAAATCCTTTCATTTTTTCCCAAATATCAATTCAGAAGTAATCCTACCAATTTAAATTTAAATACGACTTTCTATAATTGAGAAATCTCAACAGTTTCTTCGAAGCCATAATTTACCAAAAAGTAAAGATGCAACCGCTCCAACTCTCAGTGTAACTTTCACATTTAAATTTTCATTAAGTATTCTGCATTCGCATAAATAAAGTTCAACGTGAGGGTATTTAAAATATCACACAAGTTTATTGCCCAAAAATACGAGTTTATGCAAAAATGGTAGAAAAAACATAAAATGGCCAGAAAACAAACACAGAACATTTTCACAATTCACCCGAAACCAACATGAGCTGCAAAATAAATTTATATTATGTTCATAAATTCATAGAGAACACGTTTACTGGAGACAACTGCATACGTATGCCTTGCGAAAAGGACACTTCACATCGCAAAATTCGACCGATGTACCGTACCACCGTACCATATTCGATATATTTTACCATTCTGCATATGTGTGTATGTTTGGTTTATATGTGTATGTGTGTGTCTGTGTGTGTTGCATGTATTTTTTTAAATGCAAATTTCAACAAACATGGCCAACAACGCATTGTCATCACCCAAAAAACCAAACAATAACAACCAATCGACTGTGTCCTTATGCTAAAAGGCATTTTTATGTGCTCATTTCAATATAAGTAGACCTACAGTTCCAGAAGTATACATGGACTTCATAGTAAGTATCGATACTGAATATATACAAAAATTTTTAATAAATTTAACGAGATTTAATAGTTTAGCAACATTTACTATATTAACTTCTAAAAATATCGTTAGATATGAGGATAACTTCGAGATATGAGGATAACTTCGAGATATAAAGATACCTTCGAGATATGAGGATCATATTTTAGTGAAGAATAATATTGGTAAAAGTTGAATTGAATTTTGTATAATGATAGATGTATAGTACAATTCCATGTCCGTGTATTAAAACAGATAAAACTTATGACAGACTGCAAAAAGTTTGGCTATCACAATTTATATTAATCTGAATATGTATCCGAATTTATAATACCACCCTTAAATAAATATATTTTACGCAATGGGACTGGAAGCAGGCAGTCACAGATAAAATCAATTAGAAATTGCTTAGAAATTATCAATTGGAGTATTGATTTGATTTGATTAATAGCACCCTTATCAAAACAAACAATAAGGAAAAATGTGAATATAGAGGACGATAATATTGGAAAAATTACACTTCTGTAAAACCCACAACATAGACGGTACCGGGTGGATCTATATTCACATGTTTCCGAAACATCATCGCTGAAAGCTAAAATAAAGTATCAATGACTGAAAAAAATTGCATTGCATAGGATGATAACCGCTACAGCGATTAGCACGGCATAAGACCGTATGCTCTAT